ATCATGAATACACAATATAATTTGATTTGCGAGTACTGTACGCCACGTGCTAATAAACAGGTTATTCACTGACACATGTTTTGAGCTATATAATATATATTTTAATGCCAACGAAACCTTGCAGTCATTTCACTAATCACTCTAGTATCAAAATAGCAGTGCCAAGGTTCAAAATGAACTATTTACTCTACATTACGCAATGATAACAATATCAATTTAGAATCCTTAAAAAATTAAGTGATGGATGAACTGTGAAGGAATGTAACTTTACTCTTTAGTTAACTTTGCTGTTATTGACTATACTAGTATAGGCTAGCAGCAATACTGTCATAAAACGTGAGATTGAAACCGCTCATGTTTAAAACATTAAACACATCATTATTCTTAATATTTTTTGTATAAATTAAGGAAATACTTCATGTTACTATGTTATGTTTGTCTAGGGAATTTTACGGAAATCTGAGGAAATTTTGAGAATTTTTTAGGCAAATCTAAGGAATTCTTAAATTTGATTGTGAGAGCCGCTGGCTAGCAGTCGGCGTAAAATATGACAAACAAAACTAACATGTTGTGCATGTATTTTACTAAAATTTTAATCATTTTTGTGCCAATTTTACAACATACATTCACCAAATCCTGCCACAAGGAACTGAAATTAAACTGGACAGTTAGTATAAGCGATTCAGCAGTGGTTTCGCTGCCTCTGCTTGCAAAACTAAACAAAAACGACAAGCATGGTTTAGTTGTCACTACTCTTGATGGAAGTGGAAGTGTTATTGACCCAGCTACCGGAGAAGAGGGCTCACAATGGCCTGTGCATTTTCCTGAAGAGTCTTTCTACTCAGGTCCTTTGTTATATGATATTAACCAAGATGGTTCGATGGATATTTTGCTTACAACAGACAATGGCAAAATTATGTTTCTATCACAAAATGGGACAGTGTTGGCAAGATACACCACCCCCCTGCCTTGGCTAATGGTCAAACGTGAATGGTATGTTTTGAACATACATACAACAAAACATTCAGAATATGACTTAAGCCCTGAGAAAAATACAAGGTTCATTACTGCGGATGATTATAATGAGCATCATGACGTAAAGTTTAAATCGTTTGTAGTGCTCGATACCCATATTTTATCAACTCCTGTCATTGGTGATTTTAGCGGCGATGGCATAAACAGTGACCTGATTATACCAGTTAATTATTATTTTGATAACGAAGTTAAATCAAACGAACAACGGCTGCTATTAAACTTAACTTTAGACAAATCTAATCTTGACTTTTACCAGGCTAGCGGTTTAATAGTTGTTGACCTTCGGACGAGGGAAATAATATATAATACAACCTTCGAGTTAACAATGAAATCCAGTAGCTTACCTAGCTACCTGTTATCCTCACCTACGGTTATTGACTTAGACGGTAACTATGGCAGTGATGAAGTCATATTCGGTAGCGCATCAGGTAGGATACATGTTTGGAACAAGGATGGACAGTATCCTTGGTCGTTTGATTTATCAGACTCCATTGCTGGTAAAATTGCAGTTGGTGATGTGAATGATGATGGACATTTGGAGGTTATTGCTGTTGACAAGAGTGCAAATGTAATGTGTTACAGTAAAGAGAAACTAATATGGGAGGCCATCGTCTCTGGAACTGTAACCGCAGGTGCGCAATTGTACGATATTGACAACGATAATAAAGTAGAAGTCGTTATTGCAACTAACGATGGTTATATATGGGTTCTAGACAGTGAAACTGGTCAAGTCTTGCCAAAGTGGCCGGTCTCATTAGGTAATGAGATTCACTCGCACGTCTTGCTTCAGACCCAACCTGATAACTTGGTCGATATGTACATCATGTCAGGAGGAAATTTAAATATTCTTGGTGGAAACACCCAATGTCTCGAAGTTATTCCAACAGACGAAATATCATACACGCCCGTCATTTATGACTGGGAAAATATGGCTTTCATTGTTTCAACCTCAGATGGAGCCATCTTGTCATTTTCCAATTTAGACACAAACAAGAGTAATGTCCGAGACAAGTTTGGAATTGTGTTCACTAAAACTACCAATGAACTACACACGGTCACAACTGCAAGTTTTGATGTGGAATTTGAAATTTATGGTAGCCTCGTTAAAGGACATAATTGGGAATCCAGAGTTGTCATTAGTTACGCTACAGAGACGGGAGTTACACATCACATTAGCAAGTATGATAAACCAGGAGTTTATTTGGTAACTTTGCCATCACCAAAGGTTCCAAAGCGTACATACATTTTGATAGAATTTTGTGACAGATTTAAGCAATGTACTCAAGATAGGATATTTATTAGCTTTCATCAAGGGTCAAGCAAAAAGCTTGTGCTTTATGCTGTACTGCCATTATTAGTCATGGTGGTTCTGTTGTTACTTATACATGGCTATCCCGAAAGTGATCTTTTGCCAATGTGGTCAGATAGTTCAAAGAAACAATAAATTCATAAACCTGTGAGTGCTCAGTGTAATGTTTGTAAACTTCACCATACATAAGAATGAATTTGCTATCAGTCTTTGAAATGCCAAAAAGCATGTTAGAAAAGGAAGTGCTGGCCTATGTCGTAGACCCTATCTCAATTCCTCAGAGATAGGATCTATGACATAGGCTAAGGAAGCACTAGCTGAGTTTGTTACACACTTTGAGGTGCTTTCAAATTGCTATAAACTCTTTCTTGTGTATAGCATCAGAAACATACAAGTACATATTTAATCCATTGAGCACCAGTGCTCTCTCCTAGATGAGTAAAATCATCTGGCATTAGACAGAGTGAAATAATAAAGTGAATCTTTACTTTAGAACATTTTATATACACAATGTCACTTCACAATATCTAACAAACATGACTCGATATCTGGAAACAGGAAACTGTAGCCTGATTCCAATGTCCTCTTAGGAATAACTTTTTGTCCCTCAAGCAGCATAATTCCTCTTTCCTGTCCAAAGATCATGTTCACAGCGAACGCTGGTACCGGAATGAATGCTGGTCGCCACAGTGCACTGGCAAATGTTGTTGTGAATTCAGAATTTGAAACAGGTTGCGGAGCAGTTGCGTTCAGAATGCCTTGGACATTGTCATTCTCCAAAGCATGTATGATTATCCCTACAATGTCTGCAAGGTGAATCCATGACATAATTTGCTTGCCATTGCCAACAACCCCTGAAATCAGAAATGATTAGGCATTGAGGCTTTTAATTAACCCATAGAGTGGCAGCACTCTCCCACTGACAAGTAAAATTGACAGAGTAAAATAATAAAGTATGGTGCATCCGGGTGCATTGCCACTTGAAGGGTTAAAGTTGCATTGTGCTCCAATGTGCCCTACTTTATTATTTTTATAAAGTTTGCATGCTTCCATACCTCCAACGCCAAACCAAAATGGCCAAATCATGGATTTTATGGCACCACCATCACGGCCAAGAACCAAACCAATCCTGAGAGTGACATGCCGAGATGGATGATCTGATGGCAGAATGGCTGACTGTTCCCAGTCACAACAAATTTTGGCAAAAAAATTATTTTCTGGTTCAGGAGGTGTATCCTCTGTGTATTCTGCTGTTTCACTTGTTGGGTAGTAACCTGTTTTGTAAATAAAATAGAATTTTATAACAATCAATGTATTCCTATGCTATTCCTATGCTATTCCATTCTACTCTGTCCTGCTCTATATATAATTTTGCTGATGGTATATTAATATTGGTCTGCTCTATACAACAGACCTTTTTAGAAAGTCTGCCTTATGACATATGGTAGTTTGCGGATAAAGGAAAACCCTGCACAGCCATTTGGCTTCCCTGATTGGCCAAATGATCATATTTATCCACAAACTACATCACAATAAGGCAGACCTTTTAAAAAGGTCTATTCATACCGATTGCAGATGATGAGATCCAAACTTGTGGTGGTTTAGCTGCCTTTTTTATCAACTCTGTCAAAATTTTATTTGTCCCAATCCGACTTTCAATCAATTCTGCCTTGAAACTTTCATTCCATCTATGGAATTACAAAATGCAACAAGTTAGCCAATGCAATAATGGTCGCATGGATCAGACACTTAAAATTGAAATGCAAATTAAACAACCAAATCTAACCTTCTCATTGGATTAGCAATATTTTCTCCAGCGAGATTGATAACTGCATCACATTCTGGTAATTCACCATTCTTTTTCAAATCACTCTAGGGAAAAATATTAAGGTGTTTGACTAATGCCATTTAGGCCACCTTATCGGCAACAAAACTAGGTTGGTTGTCAAGTTACCCAGGTTATTTTGGAATGTCCAGGTGTTCTTGATAACAAGATCGCTTCATAGCCACATTTCTTGAGTGACTTGCAGAGGGCACGACCAATGAAACCACTCCCACCACCTACAAGAAATATAGCCAGATTGTTCAAAGCTTGATGTCCTTGATTAGAGTAAACAAATGGCCCCAGTTCTGCTTAGGGTAGGCCCCAGGTAATTTTTCATGTACATGCCCAGAAATGACGTCACATTTGGAATATAAACACTGCCTTTTTCAACATGAGAAGGCCAAGTCCAAAGACCTAGATTAAATTGAGCTACCCTTTGGTAGCCTCTCCAGAGGTCAGATAAAGCAGGCTGGCAGGCTACCTCAAGAAAACTGTCGGTATTTGGTGGAGTGAAATTGCAAGCACTCTTCTCACATGTGATTGAAAATTTGAGATAAAATTCCTGCACAACACCCCTGGTTTGCATGATAGCAAACATCATACAAATATCAAACAAATTTTCATTATTCTCACCTATGTACTGTACAACGATTGCACAAAATACAAAATATGAAGAAAATTCACTCACCAACAAGAACTTTTCTCGCAGCCATGTTTACATCATGCCGAAACGTTATGTAACACTAGTTGTAATGGCTCATGTTACAGAAGATGCAACGACGCAAAGGCAATCCGTCGCGATTCAACTGCGGTTTTTGCATTTATGTACAAATATCATAGAAATGAGATATATATTATTTTTATGACAAATATACATGGCCATACAACACCTTCCATAAAACAGTTGGAGCTTTATAAAAGTGCCCCGTTCTTTAAAACAATCCATTTAATTTGCGTCCCATAGTCCAATTTGTGTTCTTATAAGGGTCGTACACTTCAATCGATTCTAAAGAATTGCAGTTAGAAAATATTTTAAAAACAACATATAATAAATAGTGTATATATAATACAATAAGCCTTCACTAGTTCCATTTATTCTGTTCTAAGTCCTCTGTAGCGTTTATTAGTGTTTTCTAACGCTGATTTTTGCAAGTAACCTGGCAGGAATGGAATGCGTTTGCTACCATCTCTTTCAGAAGAGGTGTTCGTTCGTGCTTGTTCATTTCTTCCTTCAGTCTGTTGTCGACCTCCTTCGCTACCGTTGCTGGTACTTTCTGGTAGGTTTGTTTCTCCAGTATTGGTATTTTGTTGGTTACTTTCATTAGTGCTAGTTTCAGATTGGTTTGATTCACCAGTGTTAGAATTTTCACTATTTTGTTGGTTTCCCTGACTGACATTGTTGCCTTCGGATGGATTTGCTTCATTAGTATTTTGTTCCTTGCCCTCACTGGCGTTGCTAGATTCTTGTTGGCTACCTTCGTTGGTATTTTGGTTAGGCTGTTCTGTTTCCACCTTGCTGGCACCATCTGGCTGACCTCCAGGCGACAAACCTTCTTTCTTCCCATTTTCTGGCTTATTAATTGCCATAAACTCACTACCACAGTACTCACCGTCCATTGTGCCGCGTGCAATATTAGCAGACTCTGAGCCAAGAACATTCCCAGCAGGTTTATACCGGGCCACTATATACACGCAATTTTGGTCAGAACCATATGCTCTACCGATGCCAAATTCCGTACTTGATTTCCAAATGACTTGAGTGAAATGACCGATCGGTTCCTTTGCATCAATTTTGGCCTGCTTATTGTAATCATAGTTGCATAATTCTTTATACCTTAAAAATAAAAGAAATGTGAAAACAATGCCCCGATGTGATTTATGCTAGAGGTGAATGGGCCTGTGAATAATACGTCTGGACGAACATCAAGGTAGTGCCAATAAATTATAATAATTCCCACCGTGGCCAGGCATATTTTTCAAGCCTGCCCGGTGTGGATATACACTCAGAGTAACATCACAAACATAAAGCTTTCGTTGGTAGAGATGCAACTACCTGAAAAATACAAGGAGAAATTCAGTTCCTTGTATTTTTCAGATAGGTGCATCGCTACCAACGAAAGCTTTGTTTAAAGAAAAATCTTACCATTCTTTAGTGACGTCAGCTCCGGATGGATTAGTCTGACAGCCGACATATACATTCTCTCCTTGGTTTTCTCTGGATGATTTTTGCGAATGCTCGGCATCATTGATGCTTGATTTGGCCAGCTTTTGAGCAAATTCCGTAGCTTGAGAGGACATTTCACTGTTTTGTACTAGCGGAGGAGAATTATGGAACTGTCGATACTTGTTGTGTGCCTCAAGAGCGCTCTGTTGAAATACATCGAGATCTAAAGGGAACAAGAATATGTTTTATTGCTCAAACAGAGGTAGCTGACCACTAAACTCTCATAGTCATCATAAACTTACTTTCAATGAAAGCACCACCTTCAGGTATACCACCAGATACCCCACCTCCTTGTCCACCCGCACCCTGTGTTGCTTCTGTTTGTCCTCCCTCAACACCTCCCGTCCCCTTGTCTCCAGTGTCTCCAGTACCTTCAGAACCTGTTCTTGATCCTTCTGTCGTCTCAGTATTTTCAGTCCCTTGTGATCCCTCGGAGCCACCTGATGACGATCCCTGCGACCCTCCAGTGCCTTCTGATGATATTCCTATCGTTCCTTCACTGCCACCTGACGTCACCCCTGTTCCTTCACTAGGTCTACTAGGATTCCCAGTTTCAGCAGATTGGTTTTCTCTTGTGGGTTGATTTACGCTCGGTTCACTGGTACCACTTCCAGTGTTACCCTCGATAGCACCTTGTGACGCTGGTTTACCCTCACCGCCCTCTCGACCGCCTTGACTTGCGGGCGGGTTCTCACTGAGAGTTGTTTTGCCAGAAACACCTGCTGATTCAGATGAGGCTACGTTTCCACCAGGTCTTCCTTCGCTACTCGGTTTAACCTCGTTTGTAGGTGTGTTATTACTTTCACTTGATTGCCCTTGTGATACTTCTTTACCACTAGGTTGCCCGTGTGATACCTCATTACCACCTGGGGAACTTTTACTTCCTTCACTAGTTTGTTGCTGGCTCCCTTTCGAACCTTGAGGGTTTTCACTTCCTTGCTTCTTTGGACACGAACATGCAGGGCACTGTTTTTCACTACCAGATGACACAACAGGATTATCAGGTTTGGCAGGATTAGTTTGTTCAGCTGGTTTACCTTGTTCATCAGGATTTGCTTTATCAACAGGATTAACTGGTTCGACAGTCTTACCAGAATTAACTTGTTCAGCAGGTTTATCCGGATTGGCGGTATTAGTTTGATCAACAGGTTTACCTGGATTAGTAGAATCAACAGAATCAACTTGTTCAGCAGGTTTATCCGGATTGGCAGGATTAGTTTGATCAGAAGGATTACCTGAATTAGTAGAACTAGCCAGTTGATCAGGATTAGAGTTGGATGAAGACTGTTCCTCTTCTCTGTCAGATCTTGGGTTATTACCTGACTCAGGTAAGCGTTCCGCACCTCCAGAAGTTTCAAAACTTTCTGTTTGTATGTCAGTACCAGGACAAGGGGGACAGTAGGGTGTAGATGTTGGTGAAACCTGTTGTCCTCCAGTACCCTGCGATCCTTGTGATCCTGTTTCCTGTTGTTCAATCAAAGGTGAAATATGCGAGTTTTCGGGGTTGCTTGCTCTCTCGCGATCTCCAGTTCCCGGCACACTGGTGGGTGTGACACTAGGTACACTATTACTCTCTGTTATCCCATTATTTCCTACCACACCACCTCCTTCACTAGTTTCAGTCCCCATAGATCCTGCAGGTGTAGAGTACCCTGCAGGTTGACTATTGGTAGGCAATCTTGCGGGTTGACTAGATTCAGACTGACTTACTGGCTTCCCTGCTGCAGGCATCGACTGAGTACTTTGTGCGCTGTTAGAAGCACCTCTTGCTGGAGAACCTGCATTAGATGATCCTGCAAGCTGGGCTGATTCAGAAGGCTGTGGAACTGCATTTCCTTGCGCAGGCCTTCCTTGCATCGATTGCCCGGAATTCGTTGCAGACTCAGAAGTACCTCTGCCGCCTGTTTGAGATGCGAAGCCCCCAGATGCCTGTATGTTGGCGCCAGTTCCCCCACTATTACCTGAACAAATACTAGAATCAAAGTTGCCTTTCGGGATATTAGCAGATTCAGCAGGACCCTGCTCTGCTCCTGGTCTGTATCGAGTCACCACGTATGTACACTTCTGTCCCGACTTAGTACTCGTTCGCCGGCCTACTCCGATGAGATACGTCGCTTTCCACACAACTTGCGCAAAATGTTTGTACTCGTTGTACGATTTCTTGCTGGTAAAATAATTACACGCCTCGTTGTACCTATAAGAAATAACGCATTTGAGTTTTGTGCATTTATACATTGTTTCCTAGCCATGTTTCCCAGTGGATAAACCAGAGAACATTGTTTCATAGCCATGTTTTCGAAGGTGGTTAAACCAGGAAACATTGTTTCTGCAACAAAAATCATATCAGGGAAACAAAATTTGTTTCAGAACTTGTGGGGAAGAACGTTTCCTAGTTTTTCCAGGGCACACATCTGAGGTGTAATAAAAATCCTTCTTACCAATGATTCACAGCCTCCTCTCCACTGACTTCATTTCCACACGAGATGTAAATATTTTCACCGATTCCAAATTCCAACTTTGGATTATTCTGTAGTTCCCGGACTCCTTGATTCGCCAGCTCTTGCGCGTACATACCAGCTTGCTGCCGTAACCGAGCACATTGGGATAAGTCCCGACATCCATGGATCTTACGGTACTTATTGTGAACTCTGATGACTTCACTGATAAAACCAATGTCCTCTGTGAATACAAAACAAAAGCTGACGGATGCTGGTCCTGCTATTCATTTACACTTAGCAAATTGCACTAAAACTGAATTATCTTTATTTGTACTGGAAAGTTTTATCAGTTCTAGCTAGATCTGTTCCTCAACATGCCCATGCAGTAAGGACTAACTCTCGTTGGTCCAGTGTTTATTACTACAGGAGGAAAAACCTGCGGCGTTTGGGATAGGGACAAACTGGAAACACTGTCTCATATAATATTATTTCTAGTTTATTATTTACCTTTTCTGTAGCCCAATATAGCAGCTAATAGTCTACAATCAGCCTTGACGTCTTTGATAGGAGAACTTAGGTATTCTAAATAAACAGCAAAAGCGTGACAAGGCAAAATGCATATGTACCTGAAAAGGCGAGCTAAAGAGGTTCTCACAACAAAATTTACAGTGTTCAGGATAACCTTTATATTTGAAGGAAGAAAAATAGCTGGATTCGTGATTGCAATAAGTAGTTGCCGAGCACGGGATGAGAAACTCAATGAAAAACACGAAAAATTGAGTCACTTTTAAGTAAAAAATTTACTTAAGAACGCTGTGATGCACCCTCTTGAGTTGCTGCAGGACCGGTTATTCAAAGCTGGAATAGTGCTAACCCTCGGTTAAAATTTAACCTGATGTTTTAGTTTAGGTATTTCTGCACGTCCGTTTATTTCAAAACTTCAGAGAAGAAAAACGTCTAGTAATCCAGACAATATCTATGAAGAAATATTTCAAAATTTATAAACAAGTTGTTGGAAAGTTTGTTTTAAATTTTAGATTAATCTAGAGTTAAACAAGCTAATTGGCTTTTGAACAACAAACCCCTGAACGCCAACTCTATAAGAAGATTTGGGTCTTATGTTTTACCTGCTATTTGGTAGAGGAATATGTGGAAAATATACAGATTCCAGGTTTTCATCACAGCAACACAATTCCTTTTTTGAATCAGTTGGGTTGATCTTTATGGACAGAATTAGATGCATTCTTTGCTAGCATGTTTTATCAACACTCGGAACACAAACTGTCCAATATATTGCCGAGTTGGGTTTGACAGTATTTCTAAAAGGTAAATATATAACGTAAAAAATGTCATGGGTATAGGCCACTCTCTTTGGTTCAGTTGTTATGTAAACGGTCTGTAAATTTCCCAGTGATTATCTTACCAAGAATCCTATAAAAAATATACAGGCTAGTAAAAATCTGTCAAAAAGAACCTGTCGTCCTTGAAATGACAGATGCGTTTGTTCGGTTGCCTTTGTTCGGTTGCCTTTGTTCAGTCTTCTTTCAGGTGAAATAATCGAAATGAAAATCACATTACCTGAAAAGTCAAGAAATCGTTTCTCTCACGTTAACATACGGGAAATATCTTTAAAAGAATGAAAGATAGCAATTTTGGTTAACACTACGCACGTGTTAGGTTAAAATTCCACTGCAGTGTGCCCAACCGTGGATCACAACCTGACAAATTATTGGACAAAAACAGGTGTTATAATTAATTGTGACAGTTAATGTCACTTTTGAGTTTTGTAATAATACTTGTTCAAAATATATCATGTTTTGAAGGCTGCAAATTTGCCAGGGCAAAGCTATGATAGACTATAAGTTCAGATTTTTGGTACTAATAAAGATGAACGGCTGAAAATGATTCAAGCATTGATTCGTTAAAAACTATATTAATGAAGTGTCGAACTTTGTTTAGTTAGCATTATAGAGTGGTTTTAATTCGATGGGGGTTTTTGGAGCCATGCAATTGATGGATAAGGTTCTTACTTCTTAGTCAAATACATGCTGATGTTAGTTGGGCAACAAATTTGATTTTTTTACCGTATATCAATTGCATAGCATGCTTAAGTCACACTTTAGTGGACGACCGGTTTTTTACAGTCCATTTCAGGTGTTTTATATAGGACGTGTTAAATAAAAAAGTAAAAACTGAAAAGCGTAGAAAAATCTAAGTGTACCACAAGCCGTATTTACATTTACACTTACAGTGTACTCATTCTGACAGGAGCGGAAGGATCGTAGTTGGACCTTTTTTTGAAATATCGATATCTTCATTTTGGACTTATGGTACAAAGTTTCACATTAAGGTAATCTATTCATCTTTCAGGCGTACCCTGACACCGAAATAAACATTACACAGTGGGGGTATATCTCCTTTACGATAAGTGCAGTTAATGCAATGGAGAACTCAAACGACAGCAACAAGATCCTACTTGTACTGGTGGCTGCAAAATGGGCAATTTGCTTGGTCTGCTTGCCTCGGTATAATGTATTTTGTCATGATATTAATGTTTAGATGCTTATTCAGAAAAAATGAATGAAATGCAGATTTTCAAGGTAACTGAGCTTTAAAATTATGTATAAGAGCATGGATAATAAAATACAATCCATGATAAGAGCTATTCACTCATGTATAGAACTCTAAAGCTTAGTTACCTTTGTTCTATTTTATGCTTCTGTAAACTACAGGGTGTATCAAAAAAATGTACACCCTTTCAAATTCAAATTATACTTATAGCCATAATCTTTTAAATATTCGTTTTTATTAATTCGAGAAATTATACGGTGTGTCAAATTACTACAACAGATTACGGTTAATTTGAATTTGAAAGGGTGTACATTTTTTTTATACACCTTTAAGAAGTCTAGAACAATAACCGCCATTTTTGGGTGACATCTAATTTTCGTTAACCAATGCAGACAATTAAAATAATGTGAAAAGCAATTTTTGAAAATAAATTAACCATTAACAAAGCAAATTTACCATAATTCATCCAAAAAATTATAAACGAAAATCACTGTTATGTAGATTTATCTCGCAGACTTCGGCTGAAATGCCACCCAAAAATGGCGGCGTGAGAAAAGCTAATTGGGCCAAATTTGTCTATTTCCTAAATTGGGACTTGAAGTGCAACTGATCGCTGTTGAAAATGCTGGTCTTCGGCTTCGTGTTGTGTCTCACTTTATACTTAAAGGTGATGTAAAGTCCGTTCTGCGCAGGCCTACATTCCAGTGGTCGAAACCCGACCATTGGAATGTTGTTAATATTTCGCACCCTCCGAACTTTCTTGAATTGAATCTCTAGTCTGTATTAATTTACCAGCATAGCGAATCAGAAGAGTGTTAAAAATTCAGTATAATATATATCTAGTCATATTCTGCAACTGTAGCACTGAGTTCAAAATGTAAACAAAGCGTTTGTTTACATTACGAACTTTACATCACCTTTAAACATTATTGTGTTTGATTCGATTTCTTTTTACTTTTTACATACAGGTGGATGTGATCCCAGGTAATGGCAAAAGGTGTTTTTGTAACCTTGCCTTTGGCTTTTCTTTTTGTGATCGTGCATTTTCTTCTTGACATAGGTGAGTGGATGTAATTCAATTTCAAAACTCACAGCATTACGAAATCTAGAATGGTGAAAGTCAATTTTGGTAATGAAGTGAAATTTTGAATTTTTAACTTTTCAAAAATATTTTTTCGCAGACTGCCTTCCACATCCTAAACTAACTCGCGTTAGAGTCAACGGGAAGGTAAAATATATTCGCACTGGCGACAAAGTCAGAAAATGGTCCACTTCGTGGGGGTCGAATTCTGGCCCCACGAGTTGGTCGTGGAACAGCGGTGGTGGAGTTGGTGGAGGGAATAAAGCCGGAAATAGTGGAGGTAGTCAATGGTCTTCAAATGCAGTGGGAGGTCAAGGCGGTGGTAAATTTTCGTGGACGGGTGGTCAAACAACTGGTGGTGCTTTTAGTGGGGCAGTAGGTGGTGGCCACAAGTTTGGAATGGGTGCTGGCCAGAATGTTGGAATGGGTGCTGGCCAGAATGTTGGAATGGGTGCTGGCCAGAACGCTGGGATGGGTGCTGGCCAGAATGTTGAAATGGGTGCTGGTCAGAACGTTGGAATGGGTGCTGGCCATAATGTTGGAATGGGTGCTGGCCAGAATGTTGGAATGGGTGCTGGCCAGAATGTTGAAATGGGTGCTGGTCAGAACGTTGGAATGGGTGCTGGCCATAATGTTGGAATGGGTGCTGGCCAGAATGTTGGAATGGGTGCTGGCCAGAACGCTGGAATGGGTGCTGGTCAGAATGTTGAAATGGGTGCTGGCCAGAATGTTGGAATGGGTGCTGGCCAGAATGTTGGAATGGGTGCTGGTCAGACAAATGGTACAAATGGAATGATGGTTGGGATGAGTGGCGGTGGGGTAGGGTTTCCTGGTGGTCAACAATATTCATTTAAATTTGGCAACGGACGATGTATCTACCCAGAAGATGGTCAAACTTCTCCAGGCACAAAATTAACGATTCCATCGGAAGCATGCCGTTCTGAAAAGGCCAAGTTTGTTATTTCTGAGACAGGAAATCTAATACATGTGAAAACTGGCTACTGTGTACAGCCAGAGGGTGAAAAGCTTAACGATGACTCACCAATTGTTATCTCGGAAGCCTGTGATAAAAAGTGGGCATTTACCATGACTCCGGGTGGTTCTCTTAAATTGGCAAAGGGTGGGAAATGTATACAACCATTAAGTGGTACCACTCAGCCGTCAGCTGTGGAGAAATTGGTCTTCGGTAATAATTGTGATAAACCTGAGAGCAAATTTCAAATCGATGGTAAGGTTGATACTCTTTCTGTAGTTATACAGTATTTATTGTGTTTATCGATTGAAAAGTGATATCGTTTGGTGTTAGGCAGGGAATAGTTGTCTGGCGAGTCCGTATTGTTCATATATATTAAAGGTCTTTTCTCCTTTCGATTGTCACGTAATGTCGTCTGGTGTTTATACGAGTACAATAATCTTGTTTGGTAGGAAAGAAAAGTGCTTTCTCGGATGAAGCGTGACGTCATTTAGTAATATACCCACAGTTAGTTCCAGACGAAAAACCTTCGCTTGAAATGACAAATATTTTTTTATTTGGATACAAACAGCGACAGCTAATTAATCACTGACACAATGTGGACCTTCAGGTTTGAATACATCATTTTCATAACACCGATCGATGGGCTTAAATAAATAAGGTTTCTTAACCTCGTTCAGATGCAAAATTTCTATTCAAATTCAGTCACAAAAACGAGGCGGAGAAGGCTTAAAATGTACATAAAGAATATTTAAACCTATCTGCATTATGAAGGTGGTCTATGATCCTTCAGTAATAACTCATTCTGTTATTTTGTTTAGATATGAAACCTTTCACTGGAGCTGGTGCCGGAGGTGGGGAAGGTTTTCCTGGCCCAATGGGTAATGGAGAGATTGGTGGACAGGGAGGAATAAGTGGACAGGAAGGAATAAGTGGACAGGCAGGGATAAGTGGACAGGGAGGAGTGAATGGACAGGGAGGAATGAATGGACAGGGAGGAATGAATGGACAGGGAGAAATAACGGGACAGGGAGGAATAAATGGACAGGTTCCCGGTACCAGTATAGCTGGTGCTGGTAATTTTGGTGGTGGTGGTGGTGGTCGTTTCGGGCAGGGAATGATAATAGGTGGGGCAGGCGGTGCTGGATTCCCTAGTGGTCAACAATTCTCATTAAAATTTGAAAATGGACGATGTCTAATCCCTGAGAATGATCAAACAAGCTCTGGAACAAAGTTAGTCGTACCAACTGAAGTTTGTGGTAGTGATCTTGCCAAGTTTAAAATTTCGGACAAAGGAAATCTGGAACATGTTAAAACTGGGTTCTGTGTGCAGCCGGAAAATGGAGGCGACGATAAACCATTGGCAATAGAAGAGGCGTGTGACAAGAAGTGGGCTTTCACCATGACTGCTGCTGGATCTCTCAAACTGGCAAATGGTGGAAAATGCGTTCAACCGGTGACTGGTGGTACGCGACCATCACAAACGGAATACATGGTATTGAAGGATTCGTGTGATAAACCAGAGACAAAGTTCACAATTTGGGGTATGATATTTCACGCCAGTTTATAACATGGATGAACATTTACTTTTCGTTGTTCATGATAAGTTGAGAACGTAAATTCTTTACGTACTATTAAAAAATTCATTAATAATTCACGAGGAAAATACAAAAGAAATGAATGTTTAATCAATGTTTGTAAATCGGATAAAGATTTGTCCTGCTTTACATAAACTTCAGCTTTGATTTTCTCGGCTTAGACAATGTTTATTTTTAAAATTACTTCGCCAATGAACTCATCAGACTCATTGTATATCAGATACAGATCGGCTGCTCCCTGCTCATGTTTTATCTAGTACTTAAAACACGAGCAGGAGACTGCTTTATCAGATATGAACCTGAAGCGACAGCCAAGTGTTTTATATCTGATAGAGCACGTACTGCGAGTGTTTATGAAATGGCTTGAAAAACGACCCGTTTTATGAGTTCATTGGCAAACTAATTTTAAAGAACAACGTTGTCTAAGCCGAGAAAATCAAGTCTTTTTACATATAAAACCACCAACACGGCAGTGTTTCTTTTGTATTTTCCTCCTGAACTATTACTTAGTTTTTATAGAATAAAATATCTGAAATTCATGAATAATGAATTATTTCCTCAGCTATTTTTGATGAATGATTTCCTGCATTTTGGAGTGTCTCAATAAATCACATAATCACATAGAGCATTATAGTTGCGCGCAAGATACGCAACACTGTCTGATCACAATTGACCACTTGCGTAATAGACAAAATTTTGATCTCAACAAGTTTAGACAAAAATTTCATTACAGCTTGAAAGAGCATCACAAAATTAGTAATGTTCCAAAGTTTCGTTGCGAAATGGTGTAAAATGTAGATAATATAGCCTTGCGAAGTTTGTAATTTTCAGTCATTTTAGATTACAAACTGGAAATTGACAGCCTCGAAGGGTTTGGGGCTGTCAATTTCCCGTTTGTAATCTAAAATGACTGAAAATTGCAAATTTTGCAAGGCTATATTTTCCGCATTTTACAACATTTCGCAACGAAACTTTGGAATATTACTAATTTTGTGATGCTCTTTCAAGCTGTGATGAAATTTTTGTTGAGATCAAAATTTAGTCTATTACGCAAATGGTCAATTGACCACTTGCGTAATAGACAAAATTTTGTTCTCAACAAGTTTAGACAAAAATTTCATTACAGCTTGAAAGAGCATCACAAAATTAGTAATGTTCCAAAGTTTCGTTGCGAAATGGTGTAAAATGCGGATAATATAGCCTTGCGAAGTTTCTTTCAAACTGTGATGAAATTTTTGTCTAGACTTGTTCAGATCAATTATAACGAATCTAAAACTACCGTCTGGAAAATTGGGTGGGTACGGTCCTCCCTTCCGCTTGGCGGCGCCACAGGTTCATTTTAGGTTTGTATTTACCCAGTGTATTAGATGTTAGTTGTTTTATTACATAGGAGCAAGTGGAGGAGCTGGAACAAGTGGCGGGGCTGGATTCGGGGCAGGAGGTGGAACGATTAGTGGGGCTGGATTTGGGGCAGGAGCCGGAACGATTGGCGGGGCTCGATTCGGAATGGGGGCAGGAACGAATGGCGGGGCAGCATTCGGGGCAGGAGGTGGAAAGAGTGGCGGGGTTGGTAACCAAGGTGGAATGAACTGGAACTGGAGCAGCGGCAAAAACAATGGCAACTCGGGAACATCTTGGTCTTGGGGTACCCCCGGGGGTAATAGTTGGTCCTGGAGAGGTCCTCAGGCTGATCTGGAAAATGATAAAGTGCCTCCCAGTAAAAACAACAAACATCACCCGCAGCAAATCAAGATTGTTATTAATGTAAAGAGAACCAAAGATGATCCTGAACACAAGAGGAAAGGACAACTTAAGATGCGTTGAAAGAAAGGACCAAGAATAAATGCCTAAAAAAATTGTGAACTGTGGTCGGCAGATTTGCACGAGTTAATATAGGGAGCTCAAACAAGCGATGTTTTTGTCAAAACGGACGTCAGATTCCCAAGGAGGGACTGGATTAAAAACTGCGTTTGTGTCAGTTTGTGGTAATCTTCAACACATATGATAAAACATAAAAGTTTTTTGCTTCCTTACATGAGCGCTATGAGGCAACATGCCTCCAATATTTGTGATACTATCCTTGGGTGATGTCCGTGTTGATGAAAACGTTGCTTGTTTAAGCTCACTATAGTGACGTATAGCAACCTTTGTCTTTGGATATTTCTGTTTTTCTTAAATATCGTAGTATACCAGTTGGTTGTTCGACATGCAGACAACGATGTGGTGTTTTAAATGGAATTCGTCCGTTAGTTTGCATGGGTTAAAACGTGAACTAAATGTATATATAAAGAGTTAGTACATGTTGAAATAAAAGTAAAAATGTAGAATCGTGTTGTGCAGGTTAAAGAACGATGTACAACTTGTCTCGTAATATATGTCCCGCAGTTTTGCTGTGACACAAGTTGAAGGTGTAAGATGACTTGCAATCGTCCAGTCTCGCAGCAACCGTTGTACTGGAAAATGTCGAGATCTTCAACGATTGTTACACCTTGCGTCAGTTGCATACAACTTGTGTCGCAACAAATTGGCCGTAGCGACACAAGTTTTACATAGTCAAGTGACCAATAAACTATTACGTCCATGCATCCTACATCTTCCATCAATAATAATTCATTGTGTTGGATGCAATATTGCTTCGTCTGTTTCAACAATTGCATGTGTTGTCTGTTGGTCTGCCTGGACTAACGTGTTGGTCCAACGGCAACGATATAGGACGCCCACGTTGGATGAAAATTTTGAACAAATTTTAAACCAGATCCAACATCAGTAGTCAATTAACATCCCCAAACATAGACCCAAATATGTTACATGTAGCAATGCTGTGAGTGATAAAAAAGAGCGAGTTTGGATGACGTTTCACGTGGTAAAGAACCTCAGCCATTTCACGTTTCATATGCAAACGTCCAGACGACGAAAGGTCTTCGCTCGTTACGTAGAAATTCTCCTTATATTTTTCAGGTAGTTGCATCCTCACCAAGGAAAGCCTGTTAATACTTTTCGCACTACCTACACTGGCACATACACATCGAGAATACATGTTTTCGTTTGAAGCAATTACCTGTACCTTACCTGTTCATTCACATCAATATTTGTAAACTTTGTCAAGAAATATAAACAGATTTTCATATAAACAGATTTTCATACAAAATATATTTGGTAAGTGAATGATTATTATTTATCTATTGTCTATAAATGTTTTAAATTAAATTTAAATAATAGATACCATTTAAAGACATTGATAATTATGCTGGTACTTCGGTAATTTCGCCATTTCATTTGTGTTATGTTTGATCATTGAACAAAGGTAACTAAAATTATATACTTAATATATTTGTACTGTATGAATGTTTATATACGTATATATTTCTTTATTACATAGGTGGCTGTATTTTTTATATAAAATCGATCACGTGAATAAGCAAATAGCCGTTTATCAAATCCTTCAAAACTTAGAATTTACCGATGCAAAATTCCTACTGTGATCACAGAAACTTTGATATTGTATAAACCAACCTTTGTGCATCTAAAATAAAACTGATTTGCAATACAAAATAAGTAAATAACTATCAATTGAAGTTAAATCATTTCAATTTTTAGCACATTTTGGGATCAAACAACTACGTCCAAGCTATTGTACTAAGATGTAAAGATGTATATAAAGTGAGTCATAAATTGATAATATATAATTATATAAGTCTACCAGGACATCACCTTAAAATAATTAAGTATCATAGAAAATTTCCTGATTTATAGAACCCTATTCCATTCAGGACAGGCTGTATTCTCATTCCAATCCTTGTTGTCTCATGTTTTGTACGGCATTCTTTCCCTAAAGGTTTTAATGTCACCAATGGGGAAAATGAAACTGTTGCAAAGTCGTCTTATAACATTGGTTTTTATGGTGATTATTAAAGTTGGTAAGTCCCTCTAAATTTTATGCGTGTTATGGTTATAAGCTGTACGTTTATCTGTTTGTTCTGTGTGTATACATAATGAAAACTTAGTGCAATTAAAAATAGTCTTATTGAGACCATTTGAGACCCAGTCGTTGATAGCTTGGTTGTTCAAAGCTGGATTAGCTGTTTCTCACAAAACTTTGTTTATCACAAAACTAAAGAAAAGAAAACTCCTATTGATCCATACAAAAAATTCTGAAGAAATATTTCCAATTTGATAAACGGGCTGTTAGGAAGTTTGCTTTGAATTTTAAGTTAACAGGGTTAAGCCTAAGTTAAGCGGCTTTCGAAAGCTTTCGTTTAACCGGGCCTTAAAGTTCAACATATAGTTTGACATATTTGCCCGTTTAGAACTATATCCCGACGACGATGAAACAAAGTCTAATCAAACCAGTATAATGGCTGAACATGTTTTCCACAATACTAAAGTAATTGATAAATCTAACCATTGGTCCCTTTTGCTGTATCAAGAATCCCTCGCTATTCAAAGACATAAACTTGAAGTTAATCATGGACTTCTAAAGAACTAATCATATTTAGTTAATTCAATAATCAACCTAATGATTGTATCATATTTCTTCATATAAATACTGCTTTTAATGTATAACCTAGCTAGTTTTTTATCCTGATGATGACTGAAATATAGTCGAAACGTAAAAATATTATCGATTTTTGGAGTTTCACTTGTTTTGTATTTTGACATATTATTTTGTTCCACTACAGAGAGCGTTCAAAATGTGAAAGTGGGCAACGCATTAACAAACAACGGTTTTGATACGACTGAGTTGAAACTTGCTGATACCTTGATAAGACGCGAAAAGGAACTCAGGGCATGGGAGAGTGGCGGCTCTTGGTCATCTGGTGGTGGTGGTGGTGGTGGTAGTTTTAGTGGGAGTGCTGGTGGTGGTGGTGGCGCTGGTGGTGGTGGTAGTTTTAGTGGGAGTGCTGGTGGTGGTGGTAGTTTTAGTGGGAGTGCTGGTGGTGGGAGTGCTGGTAGTTCTAGTGGGAGTGCTGGTGGTGCTGGTGGTAGTTTTAGCGGGAGTGCTGGCGGTGGTGGTAGTTTTGGGGCTAGTGGAAGCTTTGGTGCAGGAGGTGGGGGAAAATTTGGAGGTGGGGGTAAATTTGGAGGTGGTGGTAAGTTTGGTGGTGGAGGTAAATTTGGAGGCGGGGGTAAATTTGGAGGTGGAGGTAAAGTTGGAGGTGGGGGTAAATTTGGAGGCGGGGGTAAATTTGGAGGTGGAGGTAAATTTGGAGGCGGGGGTAAATTTGGAGGTGGTGGTAAATTTGGAGGTGGTGGAAAATTTGGAGGCGGTGGTAAATTTGGAGGTGGTGGTAAATTTGGAGGTGGAGGGAAATTTGGAGGTGGTGGGAAATTTGGAGGCGGTGGGAAATTTGGAGGTGGTGGGAAATTTGGAGGTGGTGGGAAATTTGGAGGTGGTGGGAAATTTGGAGGCGGTGGTAAATTTGGAGGTGGTGGTAAATTTGGAGGTGGAGGTAAATTTGGAGGTGGTGGTAAATTTGGAGGTGGTGGTAAATTCGGAGGTAGTGGTAAATTTGGAGGTGGTGGTAAATTTGGAGGTGGGGGAAAGTTCGGTGCTGGAGGCAAATTTGGGGGTGGTGGTAAATTCGGAGGTGGCGGTAAATTCGGAGGTGGTGGTAAATTTGGAGGTGGTGGTAAATTTGGAGGTGGGGGAAAGTTCGGTGCTGGAAGCAAATTTGGGGGTGGTGGTAAATTCGGAGGTGGTGGTAAATTTGGAGGTGGTGGGAAATTCGGAGGTGGTGGGAAATTTGGAGGTGGTGGTAAATTTGGAGGTGGTGGGAAATTTGGAGGTGGTGGGAAATTCGGAGGTGGTGGGAAATTTGGAGGTGGGGCTGGAGGAAAGTTTGGCTTAGGTGGAAAGTTTGGTGCCGGTGGTGGGGATGCACGGGGTGCAGGTGGCGGAGGATGTATGAAAGAAGATGGTAGGTTTATATTTTTATTTTTCATAAAAGTTTTGGCAGCAACCTTAACAATGCTACCTTAACAACGTTTTTGCTTAAACTCATCAATTGCAATTTGAGTAACTGATAAACGTTGGATAAAATTGTTACACGATTCAGTTAGGAAAATCAAATTAAGGACATAATTAATCAGTTGAGGAGACATTTAAGGTTCATCATAGTTATAACTGTTCACTTTGATTCACATGAATTACTTGATTCACAAGAGATTTACTGATTCCCATTTTTACAGGTGGATGGTTCGTGATTCAACATGCCTCGGGCTTCGGCGTGTGGCCTCAGGGTGGAAGAGCTATAAATGGCGCTAGACTTGTTCTCGGTTCAAAAAATCTCGCAAACCAAGCCTACGTGTTTGTATGGACCGCTAAAAAGTCTATAAAACATATTATGAGTGGTATGTGCATAAACATGAGGGGTTTAAGTTTGGTGTTACAGAAAGGATGTGATTCTATGCCCACAATGAAATTCAAAAAAACGGGAAGCGGATTCATGAACATTGCAACGAAAGGATATGTAATGGCTGGAACCTCGCTATCCGCAAGGCCTGGGATTGCTCTGAGTACAAAAATAATCCAGACAGCCGGCTCTTCCTTTACCTTTAAAAGTAAGGATTAAATTGTAAGCTTGTATATATGGGGTGATAAGCGAAAGAACAACAGTTATTTATTTAAAATTAAAGCTCTGATCAAACTCTCGGAAAAATTGTTTCCTAGCCATGTTCTTCGAAGGTAGCTAACCAGGAAACATCAGTTATTTCTGTAACAAAAATCTCTTTTGGAAAACAAAATATGTTGGTGCATTTATTGGGAGACATTTTTGTTTCACAAGAAGCAAACGTTTCCCAGGGTTTTAAAGTAGAAACAAATCCAAAAATGCAGCTTCAGGAGGAGTCAATAAATCTGCGCAGTCCTACGATTCCGGTAGAACGCTCTGACCAGCAAGCTACACACTCCTGTAGCCAAGGGCCTGTAACACAAATTATTTTTATTTTTACAGGTGCTGCGACAATGAAAATTAGATTTTCTTTCACATTTGGAGTGGGAGGTGAGCAATCGAACAACTACATCAGAGATTCTTAGGCCTACAGAATAAACAAGAAAACATTGTTTCGTAGCCATGTTTCCCGAAGGTGGACAAACCTGGAAACATTGTTTTCTAGCGATGTTTCCCGAAAATGGGCAAACCTGGCAACATTGTTTCCTAGCCATGTTCTCGAAGATGGACTAACCAGGAAGCCATGTTTCGTGAAGGCGGACAAACCAAAAAACATTGTTTCTTAGTCATGTTTCTGAAGGTCCACAAAGCAGGAAACATTGTTTGTCAGCCTTATTTGTTTCCAAAGATGAGCATTTGGACCTTTTTCCAAACTTTTACAACGAACGTAAGCAACGCTTAACGTAAAAGCATTCGCTGTCGTTTCAAATACAAAATGTAATTTTGTTTGTTTTTTCCTTTTAGGTGGTGGTGGTGCTGGAGGTGGTGCTGGAGGTGGTGCTGGTGGTGGTGCTGGAGGTGGTGCTGGAGGTGGTGCTGGAGGTGGTGCTGGAGGTGGTGCTGGAGGTGGTGCTGGAGGTGGTGCTGGAGGTGGTGCTGGAGGGGGTTTTGGAGGAAAAGGTGGATTTGGAGGAAAAGGCGGTTTTGGAGGAAAAGGAGGATTTGGAGGAAAAGGTGGATTTGGAGGGAAAGGTGGTTTTGGAGGAAAAGGTGGATTTGGAGGAAAAGGCGGTTTTGGAGGAAAAGGTGGATTTGGAGGAAAAGGTGGTTTTGGAGGAAAAGGTGGTTTTGGAGGAAAAGGTGGATTTGGAGGAAAAGGTGGTTTCGGAGGAAAAGGCGGATTTGGAGGAAAAGGTGGTTTTGGAGGTAGAGGTGGTGGCAGAGGAGGTAGGTGTATACATTATCTTATATACAATCATGCATGAGTTTATTAGTGGGTTTGACAAAGTATTGCTATGCAGCAGATATAGCTGTCAACCTATAGAGTGAGAAATACATGTAGCGTTTTCTAAAAACAAAATTGAATCCAGTAATTTAGAATTTGAAAATCTGTGGTAATTCAGTTTCTGTAGACAGAAAAAATTATAGAACGTCCTTATATTTAAGCAATTATGGAAGCCCTTCACTGAAATAAAATATTAGCAATTTACCTGCCTACTTTTACGAATACTAGCAATTTACATGCCTACTTTTCTAGCTATTGACGATTATCTGAGACGTTGATTTTGTCATATAGGTGCTAAATTCGTTCTCCGTTTTGGAGGACGTAGTGCAAAAGGGGGTCTGTGTTTTACCCCGCAAGGTGGTCAGGCACGTAACAATGTTCCTCTTGTGTTTGGAAAATGTAAAGATCGCAAGGATGTTTTCAGAATGACAAGCAGTGGTGCTTTGGCTTCAGTCGCTTTTAGAGGATACTATATTCGCTTTAGTGCTGGAAGATTGGTGATGTACAGAAGCGCGCGAGGTAGCGCCAAGTTTAAATTCCAAGGAGGGAAAATTAAAGTGAAATCTGGACGTGGTGGACGATACATGTATGTCCAGTCCCAGGGAGGGGCCCGGGCCTCTATGGGTATGCAGGTCGTCGCAAAATCTACAAGATCGCGTTCGTTTATGAAGTTCTCGTGTTTGAGTAAGTATTATGTTTGTAGAATTTATCTTTTCAATACTTGATCTCACTTACTCGGACTGATTAAAACGATCTAGAAAAGTGAAACAGGCAGAGCATTGGAAGAAATGGACAAATTATGATGTGCGACTATACATTTAGAAAATTATAATTTTATAATTGTTGAACTGTTCATTTTTCATTTCAGAGGCTGGAGCCCGTGGAATGAAGGGTCGTCGTGGAATGCGTATGAGCATGCGCACTGTTATGAGAATATCAGGCCGAAGTGCTGGAGGTAAGTATAAAATATTTAAAACATGCATGGTTATGTTTAAGAGTATGGTTAAGACTAGGGTTGCAGAAAGAAGACATTTAAAATCGTCCAGCGTTGTTACAGCAGGCAACTGGAGTACAAGTAATAAACCCGCGGTGTTTGGTAGAATCAAATTGGACGCACTCTTCTCATCTGCAACTGAGGAGGGGGAGGGGGGGGGATCTTATCAGACAACCTCGTGTTACAGGAATAAAACCCCTGTCACAGAGGTAAAAGACGCACAATCCCTCCCCCTCAATGGTTACAAATGAACTATTTAAAAAACATGCAACAAACGATAAGCTACTATTAGGTTAAAAAACAAATTATGTTATTTCCAAACATTGTATCAATGTATAGTGAAACAAGATCTATTCGTCACTCTTTTCATTTAGGTCGTAAGTTTGTTCTCCGTTTCGGGGGACGTGGTGCAAAAGGGGGTTTGTGTTTTACCCCGCAAGGTGGTCAGGCACGTAACAATGTTCCTCTTGTGTTTGGAAAATGTAAAGATCGCAAGGATGTTTTCAGAATGACAAGCAGTGGTGCATTGGCTTCTGTCGCTTTTAGAGGATACTATATTCGCTTTAGTGCTGGAAGATTGGTGATGTACAGAAGCGCGCGAGGTAGCGCCAAGTTTAAATTCCAAGGAGGGAAAATTAAAGTGAAATCTGGACGTGGTGGACGATACATGTATGTCCAGTCCCAGGGAGGGGCCCGGGCCTCTATGGGTATGCAGGTCGTCGCAAAATCTACAAGATCGCGTTCGTTTATGAAGTTCTCGTGTTTGAGTAAGTATTATGTTTGTAGAATTTATCTTTTCAAAACTTGATCTCACAACCGCATGATTATAAAGATCTAGAAAAGTGAAACAGGCAGAGCATTGGAAGAAATGGACAAATTATGATGTGCGACTATGCATTTGGAAAATTATAATTTTACAATTGTTGAACTGTTCATTTTTCATTTCAGAGGCTGGTGCACGTGGAATGAAGGGTCGTCGTGGAATGCGTATGAGCATGCGCACTGTTATGAGAATGTCAGGCCGAAGTGCTGGAGGTAAGTATAAAATATTTATTACCTACATGGCTGTTGTTGTATTTAAGAATATATACAGGACTTGGGTTGGAAGCCATTTAAAATCGTCCAGTGTTGTTACAGGAGGCAACTGGAGTACATGTAGTGAACCTGCGGTGTTTGGTATAACCAAACTTGAAGCAGTCTTCTCATCTACAACTTGAGCGGGAAATCTTATCAGACAACCTCGTGTGCTACAGGAATCAAACCCCGGCCACAGAGGTAAATAAAAGGCGCACCACACCCCACTCCCCCAACGGTTACAAATCAACAATTTAAAAAACAGGCAACAAACAATAAGCTTCCAAAGGTTCAAACATACATTATGTTATTTCCAAACTTTGTATCAATGTATATTGAAGCAAGGTCTATTCGTCTCTCTTTTTCATTTAGGTCGTAAGTTTGTCCTCCGTTTCGGCGGACGTGGTGCAAAAGGGGGTTTGTGTTTTACCCCGCAAGGTGGTCAGGCACGTAACAACGTTCCTCTTGTGTTTGGAAAATGTAAAGATCGCAAGGATGTTTTCAGAATGACAAGCAGTGGTGCATTGGCTTCTGTCGCTTTTAGAGGATACTATATTCGCTTTAGTGCTGGAAGATTAGTGATGTACAGAAGCGCGCGAGGTAGCGCCAAGTTTAAATTCCAAGGAGGGAAAATTAAAGTGAAATCTGGACGTGGTGGACGATACATGTATGTCCAGTCCCAGGGAGGGGCCCGGGCCTCTATGGGTATGCAGGTCGTCGCAAAATCTACAAGATCGCGTTCGTTTATGAAGTTCTCGTGTTTGAGTAAGTATTATGTTTGTAGAATTTATCTTTTCAAAACTTGATCTCACAACCGCATGATTATAAAGATCTAGAAAAGTGAAACAGGCAGAGCATTGGAAGAAATGGACAAATTATGATGTGCGACTGATGTACGACTATGCATTTAGAACATTATAATTTTACAATTGTTGAACTGTTCATTTTTCATTTTAGAGGCTGGTGCACGTGGAATGAAGGGTCGTCGTGGAATGCGTATGAGCATGCGCACTGTTATGAGAATGTCAGGCCGAAGTGCTGGAGGTAAGTATAAAAGATTTATTACCTACATGGCTGTTGTTGCATTCAAGAATATATACAGGACTTGGGTTGGAAGCCATTTAAAATCGTCCAGTGTTGTTACAGGAGGCAACTGGAGTACATGTAGTGAACCTGCGGTGTTTGGTATAACCAAACTTGAAGCAGTCTTCTCATCTACAACTTGAGGGAGAAATCTTATCAGACGACCTCGTGTGCTACAGGAATCAAACCCCGGCCACAGAGGTAAAAGGCGCACCACACCCCACTCCCCCAACGGTAACAAATCAACAATTTAAAAAACAGGCAACAAACAATAAGCTTCCAAAGGTTCAAACACAAATTATGTTATTTCCAAACATTGTATCAATGTATATTGAAACAAGGTCCATTCGTCTCTCTTTTCATTTAGGTCGTAAGTTTGTCCTGCGCTTTGGGAGAAAGCGTTCTGGTTTGTGTTTCATCCCGCAAGGTGGTCGGGCACGTAACAACGTTCCTCTTGTGTTTGGAAAATGTAAAGGTCGCAAGAATGTTTTCAGAATGACAAGCAGTGGTGCTTTGGCTTCTGTCGCTTATAGAGGATACTATATTCGCTTTAGTGCTGGAAGATTGGTGATGTACAGAAGCGCGCGAGGTAGCGCCAAGTTTAAATTCCAAGGAGGGAAAATTAAAGTGAAATCTGGACGTGGTGGACGATACATGTATGTTCAGTCCCAGGGAGGGGCCCGGGCCTCTATGGGTATGCAGGTCGTCGCAAAATCTACAAGATCGCGTTCGTTTATGAAGTTCTCGTGTTTGAGTAAGTATCCGTAAATAAACATTGTGCACGTATCTATAGATACAGTACCTTCCAGAAAGATAGATAGTGACTAAGTGATAGATTGATTAATTAAACTTTGAAAACAATTTGAAAAGATCGTAATAGCATCTTTCGCGACTATAAATCACTCAGATTTAAGAAACATCAATGCACCCATTCCTGAGGATATTATTGATGGGCAACTGGTGTTCTGAGTGTAGCTGCTGCGAAGGGGCAAGAGGTTCACGAGCCGCAAACACGAACAAAGGCAAAAAAGAAAAGAACCTGACAGGAAATAGCCTAACGAAGAAACATTAACGAGGATCCGATACAATAAGATCCAACAAATCGGGACGACCTTTAGTAGGATTCAGCTGGCTTTTCACTGGCTTGTCAATACAATTCAACTCTAAACTTGTCTTCGTTAATACGTTTTCTAGAGGCAAGCTCTCGTGGCATGAAAGGTCGTGGGTACCGCATGAGTATGCGAAGAGTAATGAGAGTCTCAGGCAGATTTGGAGGCGGGCGAGGTAAGGAACTTTTACAAAACCTTGGCACGACAATACGCTGAAGAACAATTAGAAAGAAAGTGATTTGTTTTGACCAACCACAAAATGCCTTCAGAAGGTTTGAACATAGTCCTACATTGCCCTGAATAGAAGTAATTGTGAGAAAAGCTGATGAAGACACGTTCATTTTAGGTTGCTATTTATTCCCAGTAGGAGAAGTAAAAATTACGTCATAGACAAACAAGGGAACATTCCTGTGGAAACATTGTAGTGGAAGGCTACCTAATTTGATGTTTTAATGTTTTAATGTTTTAATAAGGTTCGGCAACTACCTAAAAATACAACAATGTAGTGCCAGGGAGTTCGCCACAGTTCCCCCAATTACGGCGATACCTTAATATTTACATAAAAAATTACGTTCAAATAATTGATTAACGAAACAGACAATTAAAGTAGAACAACACAATTACAAAACGGCTAAACTGACAACTAACAACAGTTTAAAACACCATCAAGGGATCTAGCCCTTTTACATTTAACACAGACAGATTTCCAAGTCCGAGGATCGTCACAGTTATACGTGTTCGATGGTGCGTTCTTATAGTACAGTTTCAGTCCTGATTTAAAAGCATAGAAACCAATGAAATTTAAGCAGCGAATGAAAATAAGTTAATAACTGACTAACCAAGCTAAGTTGAAGAGGGTTTTTGCTGTGTTTACCGGGTTCAATTAGGATACATTGAAATTTCACCAGGAAGAAAAAACTTATATTTTGAGAAAATTTTATATTATAAAGGAATTTTTTTAATGATTTGGCGAGCTCTATCAAGTTATTGATCACTTGGGCAGCTGGGAAAACACTCAAGCGCTAGAGTTGGTTTCGGCAAGTGGCTCGACCAACTCTTGCGCTTTTTAGTGTTCCCCCAACTTCCCGTGTGCTCAAAAACTCGATTGAGTACGCCAAACCATGAAAAAGTCCTAACTGTTGAAACTCCTTCACATAACATTTTTCTTCTCATTAAGGTGGTATGTTTGTCCTGCGTTACGGCTCTAGAGGTCTTTGTTTCACCCCGCAGGGTGGTCGGGCACGTAACAACGTTCCTCTTGTGTTTGGAAAATGTAAAGATCGCAAGGATGTTTTCAGAATGACAAGCAGTGGTGCTTTGGCTTCAGTCGCTTTTAGAGGATACTATATTCGCTTAAGTGCTGGAAGATTGGTGCTGTACAGAAGCGCGCGAAAGAGTGCTAGGTTTAAGTTCACTGGTGGAAAGATGAGGGTGAAATCTGGGAAGGGAAAGTACATGTACGTCCAGTCACAGGCAGGGGCAAGAGCGTCTATGGGAATGATGATTATGGCGAAATCCACAACGTATCGATCATATATGAAATTCTCATGTATGAGTAAGTGTTGCTCACAAATGTTACAATCATTGTCACCACCACCATCGTTAATACCATTCCCATTTCCATCACCATCGTCATTACTACAGTCAACATAACCATAACAATAACTCATCACTTTTTTATTGTTTTCTACAGAGGCAAGTTCGGGCGGCATGAGAGGTCGGGGATATCGTATGAGTATGAGGAGAATTATGCGAAAATCAGGAGCATCCGGAGGTAGAGCTTTAGTGCGAGGTTAGTCAAATATCAAAAGATCGATGATAGGTTATGGTTAGCACAAACTCTTCCAATTGATTGAAAATGTGGGCCTGCAAAAATCCTTATTTACAAAGAAACAAAACGATTTCGTGACACATTGGTTTAATGATTGAGCCAGGCATCTCTGCAATTATGTTTCTATTCCTGATAGATATTGCAACTTTGTCTCAATTGTGAGAAAAATACTTTCAGTTTGACTCTACTAAATAAACATCGCATGCTTTCTCCCAGTGCTCCAGTTACCGGAAGTATAACTAGACCTACACAAGGATGACCTTTATTGGATCTAGGAAGAACAGTTTATAACTGTCAGAGCTTTCCAGTATTAATAAAGTTAGGTTTAAAACGTATGTACAGAAGTTACAGAAATTTTGATGAATCATTTCATAAAGTTTCCACATGATTCATGAATCATGTTATGTCAAAAAACAGAACTTGTGCGACTTAATGTATCACTGGCCTGAATATCTATTCATATCTCTTTTTATTAAGGTCGTAAATTTGTCCTGCGCTTTGGGAAAAAGCGTTCTGGTCTGTGTTTCATCCCGCAAGGTGGTCAAGCACGTAACAACGTTCCTCTTGTGTTTGGAAAATGTAAAGGTCGCAAGAATGTTTTCAGAATGACAAGCAGTGGTGCTTTGGCTTCTGTCGCTTATAGAGGATACTATATTCGCTTAAGCGCTGGAAGATTAGTGATGTACAAAAGCGCGCGAAGGAGTGCTAGGTTTAAATTCACTGGTGGTAAAATCATGGTGAAATCAGGACGAGGAGGATACAAGTATGTCCAGTCACAGGGAGGTAGAAGAGCTTCTATGGGCATGAAGATCATGGCGAAATCAACGACCTACCATTCATATATGAAATTCTCTTGTTTAAGTAAGTGTTATTTAGCCTCGCTTGTTAAAAAACCCCCAATAACAACAAACGTTTAGACAAACAAAATAAAGAAGCTGGGCGACCACAACAGCTTAAATTCCAATTACAGTGGGCCCTTTGTCAATGACAAAGGAATAAACAGTAGAGGACAGTAATTGTAACTATTAGCAGCAAGATAATGGTTGAATGAGACTTCTACCTTTGTTACATTTAAGGCCGACAATGTACGTGAATCATCAATCGTGAGTACGTGAATCATCAGTAGTACAGCAGGGACGTAGGGCAGTATGGGATAATAGTTCAGTATTGCTTTCTTATATTGGGTAATAAATAGATAAACAATCTAGTCTAAAAAATATCAGCACTCAAGGTTGTCACTTACGAAATAGTTAGATAATTCATAATTTAGGTCGTTTTATTTAAATAATTTGTAGACTGCGTAGGGGGTGGGTTTTTACGGAAATACTGAAGTCAAAACAATGAGTGACTGGATGGCATGGAAAACACTGGGATTTTCAAAACAAAGAAAAGTGTAAATTCCGATCACTGAATGTCACTATTGTTTAAGTGTGTTACAAAGAGCCATTACCGAAACAGTGCTAGAATTTTATTGACACAAAAATGAAGTATCTTATCATTATCTTATCTTTTCTTTCAGAGGCTAGTTCTCGTGGTATGAGGGGTGCGGGAATGCGAATGAGAATGAGTGGGATTATGAGAGCCTCGGGGGCGATGTCATTCAGGGGAAGGTACAGAATGAGAGGAAAATGGAGAGTTGGGGGCAAGTTTGGGGGGAAATGGGGTCGTGGGGGTAAGTTCGGAGGTAAATGGGGCAAAGGTGGCAAGTTTGGGGGCAAATGGGGTGGTAAATTCGGAGCTAAAGGTGGCAAGTTTGGGGGAAAATGGGGTGGTAAAGGTGGCAAGTTTGGGGGAAAATGGGGTGGCAAATTCGGAGGTAAAGGTAAATTTGGTGGCAGGTTTGGAGCCAAAGGTGGAGGTGGGAGTTTCAAAGTAGGGGGCGGGAGTTTCAAGGTAGGAGGGGGTGCAGGAGGAGGCGGGCAAGGGTCATGGAGTAGCAGTAGTAAGTCAGGGGGGTCGTGGAGCAGTGGTAGTAGTGGGGGTTCTACCTCTTGGTCTGTGAGTGGTGGGGGTAAGAATAAACAAGGTGATACTCAGAGTGGGAATAGTGGTCCCCCTGGTAGTACAAATAATAAGGGTAACAGTGTGTCTGGCAGCGCCACCACAGGAGTGGGTGGTCAGGATTATAGTGGTAAGATAGATGGTGGTAGGATAGATGGTGGCAAGGGTGGTGTTACTGAAGTGACCAGTGAGATTAATGGTAATCACGCTGGTGTTGGTGGTAATGGTGAAGATGGCGGGGCTCTCAGTGATAAACTGGCACATGATGGCACCAACGATAACCAACTAAATAACGACGGTAATAAACAAGAGAAGACGACGAACGACGATCCAACTGGTACCATTCCTGCCGGCACGAATACCGAAGCAAAAACTGACAGTACTGGCGGTCATCGAGGTAAGGGAGAGCTTTGGAAGTGGGGCAAGAAGAACACCGTCAGAGAAAACCACATCGAACATTCAAAACTGTACAAATATGACCATCCCGAGAAGGATAATGGACTAAATAAATCGTTTAAAAAGGAAATTAATGGACTGAAGAAAAATGTTCACGAAACTCATCAAACAATAGACACGTGAGAGCAATAAGAACAAAAGTAGATATTAAAGTTTCGTGATTGTTTTAATACAGATAGATAGCTTCTGAACTTTATCCGTCAAGTTTTTTAATATGGAGAAGTTAAACCTTGGTAAACGAAGTTTAAACTTCAAAGTAGAGAATAAGAAATGTATATAAGTATTTTTAATAAAATAATCATTATATTAAGCAAGCCTTTAGCCTGTTAAACAACTAGTCTTTGACGTGTAATTGCTTTATATCTGATACATATTTTCAATTAATTAATATTCTTCGTATTAAACCCAAAACTTAGTTATCTTTAGATGACGCGTATCGACATGGCGTTTTTGAAGTAGTTATATAAACAACCTGGAAATGGATGTTTTATTAAATAACTCTCTCCCGCTACAAGTTACAGTTTTCAAATCTAGCAAAGTAGTAATAAAGTATATTATAAATACATTTGCGCAATTAATTTCCTCTAAAACTGTTATTTAATCAACTTTTTCGACCCCAATGCACAAATGAAACCCATGGTGGATTGCAACTGATATAATAATCCAAGAACCTGCACTAAACCTGTCATCTCAACAAACTTTGCAAACTTTACATTTTTTCAAGTCAAGAAATTGCCAATGTCGAAATAAACTTTGGTAAGTATGAAATCATAACCAGAGTAGAACGAGTGCGGACATGATTTTACAATTTTTAACATCAACATGAATTGGGTCTTGTCCTTTTCGTGCATAAGAGAAAGTGGTAACTCTTCGACGATCATCATAGATTTCTAATTACCTTTCACAAAGATCATTACAGGTATTATTTCTACTTTTAAATGCTGGCGTCGTGATTGCATTTTTACAATTGTTTTTATTATAAAAAACGTTTTTACACATGGAGTCCAGTTTACATATCTTCTTTGGAACCGTGTAAAATTAAAGTTAAATATATGCATACATACATACATACAGACACCGGACTGTTAATAACTGGATTACAACAAACACGACTAATTTTTATATTTTGGTGTATAAAACTCTTAACAATGGATAAACTACATGTTGGGAATTGTTACATCTTTGATAAGATAAATTGGTTAAACCTTTAATAAATTATTCTGACTGGCTTATCTATGACCTGTTTAACGAAAACACTTTTTGAAGGATATACGAATTCAAATTTCTTAAAATGCATGTAGTCATTGGGTAGACTGTCTGCAAGCCTCAATTCTTATGCTATGAATATTGTTTCCGTGCCTAATAAGATCCTTCCCAAAATTCAGGCACCTAAATAAGATCCTTCCCAAATTTTAGCCTTGTGCTATAAGTAATTAATCCGATAGGTGTTATATATGCAAGGTTTGGTCAACGCTTATGAACTTGCCCACTATGTAAAGCACATTGAAAACTGCTTTTTTCGACTAAAATATTCATTTCCCGTTACTCATGGATTTCATTTTAGATTCCCAAACGTTTTCCACATGTTGCCAAAGAAGCTAGCGGTGATCATTTTTACTTTTTCGTTGCTCTATAAAGGTACGAAATTTGATAATTTTTGCAACGAGAAATTAGACCAGTCATAGCGTATGTTTTAGATGTAATATACTTTACACGAGTCCAACAGAATGTTCTACAGACATCGTTTAACAGGCACTAGGTTCGTTCGAGTTTAACGGAGTCTCTCTTATCTAGGTAGCACCAAGAGTGATGAAATTAACAACGACGATCTAAGTCCTGAGACGATCCTTCTTAACGATGACAATGAAAACGAGGATGTACTAAACGACCCTGTTGATACAGTGTTACGCCTCACAAGCGAAGAAAAATCTCCGATTGACCCAGACTACGTTAAAGAATATCAGATGGGGAACGACCCACATGTGCGCTCCTGGAATGGTAACAGTTGGAGCAGTTCGAGCAAATGGGGTGGGAACTCTGCTGGCAACAACTTGGGTGGGAACATGGGTGGCAGTTGGGGTGGTAATTCCGGAGGTAGTTCGAGCCAGTGGGGTGGGGGTTCATGGAATAGCAAGCAGAGTGGCGGTGGGCGTACCTCTACTGGAAGTTATGGAGGTGCGGGAAATTGGAAAATGAAGGGGTCTGGTGGGGCCTCAGGAGGAAGAGCTGGGGGCAATAGTGGTGGGTCAAGTGGCAGCTTTGGAATGAAATATGGCATGGGTGGTGGTAAAAGTGGCAGCTTTGGAATGAAATATGGCATGGGTGGTGGTAAAAATGGCAACTCTGGAATGAAATATGGCATGGGTGGTGGTAAAAGTAGCAGCTTTGGAATGAAATATGGCATGGGTGGTGGTAAAAGTGGCAACTCTGGAATGAAATATGGCATGGGTGGTGGGTCAAGTGGCAACTCTGGAATGAAATATGGCATGGGTGGTGGGTCAAGTGGCAACTCTGGAATGAAATATGGCATGGGTGGTGGTAAAAGTGGCAACTCTGGAATGAAATATGGCATGGGTGGTGGTAAAAGTGGCAACTTTGGCGGAATGAATGTTGGATTGAGTGGAGGTAAAGGTGGGGGGTTGGGGAGTAGTAGCGGTGGTCACAGTGGTGGTATTAGTGTTGGGTTTGGTGGGGGTAATGCCATGGGATCGCAATTGGGAGGTGGACAAGGAAGCGGGAATGGAAGAAGTGGATGCATCGCAGAAGATGGTAAGTCAGTAGTCACTAAGTGGAAGACTATTACTTAAATTATAACCAAAATTTCGTTTCACAATACGACAGGACAAACTATCATTTTGAACATAGAAACTCGAACACTAAGTAATTGGTAAGATTTGAAACCATTCGTCAGGGCCGCCGAGAGGGGGGGGGGGGCAAATTGCCCCGGGCCCCGATGCTCTGGGGGCCCCTAGAAATTTAATGTTAGAAATTTAATGGGCCCAGTCATTTTTTCCGGCGAAATATTTCTGTTTTCGGGCCAAAATATTTGTGTT